TAACTGTTTTGTCTCTTCTTTCTGGTGCAGCATGTGGAGAACTGGAGTTACAGCACAATCGCATGCCAGGTGTCTTTCAATGGTATGCAGTACCCTTCTGCAAGCAACAATTTAACTTTACCAGTATCAATAAAATGGTTCGTGATGCAGAAATACAATTTTCTCATATGTCTTGTAAGCACTTGCTCCAATGGTGCGACACTAAGGGTGAACCCAATATTACGTTGCCAGGTTTTAACCAAACTGCATCCAATCCTGCTGCCGCTTCTCGATCCAAGTTAAGAGCTATTAACTCTGGTTTAAGTGCTGGTCGCTCTAAGTTAAGAGCTGACTTGGATGGTTTGAGTGCTGATGCTGCTGCTTTCCAACTGCCTGGTCTGTCTGGTGGAGGTGGAGCTGGAGGTATGAGTTTGCCTGGTGGTATGAGTTTTCCTGGTGGAGGTGGAGCTGGAGCTGCTGCTGGTCTGGGTGGTGCTCTGGGAACAGGTGATATCGGTGCTCTCGCCGCGGGTGGACAAATGCCCGGGAGTTTTGGTGACTTGAGTTCACTTGGAGATATAAGTAAATTGCCACCAGATATGCAAAAAACTTTGGCTTCGGGAGGTTTGCCAGATCTCAAAGATATGAAAGGTCTTGGCGGTCAAATCCCAGACATTGGAGAATTTTTGAAGGTGGTAGGTCAGTCTGGCGGTGACATTCGTCCTCTGATGTGCGGCATGAACATTTCCAAAGAGGAACAATGTACGGACTTTGGTTCTATGGCAACTGTGCTGTTAACAACAAAAGTCAAGGCGTTTACGCGCGCGTGCCCGACACCAGGATCTTCTTGTACACTCTCAGAATGTGCTTTGAAGTGTAAAAATCCAATGATTCAAAACACCGCAGCAGGAATTATCATGGGAGCAGGCATTGCTCGAAATGCCAGTATTGCGTTATCATATGCTAAACCTCTTCTTGAATGCAATTTTGTAATTGATAAACTTTCTACTGCTATGAAACAGTGCAATGATTTAAAGGCGGGTTCACTTATGCTGGGTGTGGGCTTTTTTATTGGTGGTGTAATGTTTGGACTTGCCATCTACATAACTTTTCGAGGAGCATGCATTTGGGGTCGTTTGCCAACAAGACGCCGGAAGGACAGAGACCCATATGTGAGGGAGAGAGACCCATATATGAGGGGCAGAGACGAATATAAAAGGTACAACTAGGAGAAAAAGAAAAAAAAAAAACTTTTGGTACTCTGCATATAAACATCTTTTGTTGCTCTGATAAGCCCAATAAATCTCTACTACTGGAATTTTTATAAGAGTAAAATGGTTGCTAATTTATTGCCTTTGCTTTTATATATATATTTATATATATGTTTTTTTTTGTTTTAAGAAAAAGGTCTTTATACAAGTCTATCTTTTCTGTTTTCTTTTTTTCCCTTGCTTCATGCGGTTACTATATAAACATCAGATTTTACTCAATCAGTAATTGGAACAGTGAGGTGGGGGGGTGGGGCTGTTCTCCTTATACGTAAAAATAGAATTGTGTGCTCTTGTGCTTTTTGTTAAAATGTTTTGCTCTTGTTGAAATGCTTTTTTTTTTTTTCGTTTCTTTCACCGTATCCCATTTTAGGCCTTTAATGGTCACTGGTAAAAAGAAAAAGAAATACATTTTTTTTTTCTTGCTTTATATACCCTGATTTTTTCCTTTGAATTGATTGGTGTGCTAATTCCTTGAATAAGCTCACACGACAAATTTTTTTTTTTCTTTGGGGCTGATTCTTTTGTTTAGGAGGTAAAACAGTAAATCTATTAAATTTTTTTTATTATTGGCAAAAGTGAAAAAAGAAAACAAACTTTTTTTTTTTTTAACTCTTCTTCTGAGTCTTGTGGAGGTGAAAGAAGTAAATATCTCATATGAGAGAGTTGTTATTCCATTGTTATTTTCTTTTTTTTTTCTTTCTTTTTTCTTTTGGTTCTTTGCAATAAGTTTTAAAGATTTTTTTTTCTTTTTATTGATCCTTCTCGTGGTCTGCCTTTTCTGTTGTAGAAAAAAAAAATGTCTGCATCTACTGGGGCTAGTGTTTCTCTTGTAGGGCAAGATGATGATCAGAAAAAGGCGATTGTACGAGTGCAACGTGACTTAAAAAGGAAAAATGATAGCTTGCGAAAGCTTGAAAAAAAAATGAAATCCATGAAGGAGGATGATGCCGGTATAGAAGAAAAGAATACACTTTTAAAGGAAATCAGCGAGTTGGAATCAATGCTTAAGAGTCTAAATGGAAGCACAAACAGTAATACTACTGTACCTGCTAAAGCTGTTGGTACTTCTACTAGTAGTAGTGCTACTCCTGATACTTCTACAGCAACGAAGACTACGGCTCCAGTGGAGAGTAAATCGTCGACAACAGAGGCACCAGCAAAGGAAACATCTGATTCTACAGATAATACAGAGATTATGGAACATCTTAAAGAATGTATAAATCGTAGCACAAATGTTTCATACGCTCCGTTTGGATCTTCTCACTTACATCATGAAACTTCAGTGGTACATTACCAAATTGCAGAGTTTGCGTTAATGATGGAGTCCATGACAATTGTAGGTGTAAATGCGCGAACTTTTGCCATGATTGAGGCATTCAGGAATCTTCTTAAGTCAACACCAGTACTTTCTGGAACTTCTTTCCGTGATACCAATCCACAAGACTTTGAACATTTAATTAACGTTAACTTTGAGTTTATTCGTCGTATACGTGCCCCTTCAGCAGGTATGACACACGTTAAAGACTCTTTGGTCCGTCGTGTTGTAGCATTGTTATCTCAAGGAGAGAAGGCACAAATTTCAACTGATTATATTTTTAGTCCGGTACCATTCGGAGTACAAAAAGGAACAGTTGGAATGTCTGAAAATGATGTTTCCCGTAGTAGTGGTGGTGGTGGAGGTGATGAAAGTTTACTTGATGGTGATCCACGTGAGATGGCGTTGAATGTCTTGGCAGGAATAGAGAGGGAGATGCAGCTTTCTATAAAGAGTATTGTAGAGGATCGTTCACTACCTTATTTATCATCTAATGATACAATCCTTGTATTTGGAAGAAGCAGTACGGTTGAACTTATTTTGCTTGGTGCTGCTAGTAATCCTAGACTAACAGTTAAGCCGAAAGTTATTGTGATAGATTCTGCACCACTTTATGAAGGTCGTGCACTTGCAAGACGACTTACATGCAGCGGTCTTAATGTAACCTATGCTCTTATTGCTGCCTGCTGTACACTTATGCCTCGCTGTACTCGTGTCTTTATAGGAGCAGCTGCTGTTCTTCAAAATGGCGATGTCTTTAATCGCTGTGGTACTGCTGGTGTTGTTGCTAGTGCGAAACGATACCGTAAACCTGTATTATGCTTTGCTGAGAGTTTTAAGTTTGTACCAGAGGTGTGGTTGGGTAATCTCGGACAAAACACAAAACTCATTGGACTACGACAGTTTCACCAGAGTGAGGACCGAATCCGCAGTCCATCTGGTTGGACTCAGTCATCCTTTCAGAGCCACACCGTAGACGAACGACACTGGGATCACAGAGATAATGAACAGCAACAACAGTTACAGCAACAGCTTCAGCAACAACAGCAACAACAATACCAACATCAGTCTCAAACGAGGTCAGGAGCTGTTCCTGCTGCGGGGTATTTGTATGATCTTACACCTGCTGCTTACATTGATACAATTATCTGTGAAATGGGCTGCTTGCATACATCTGCCATCGTGGCAGCTTTACAGGATCGTGAAGACAGAGATGCATATCTTATTTCTCAAGCGTGAAGAAAATTTGGTTATCCATACGTCGAAAAAGGGGGTAGTGGTGGGGGTGAGGGTTGTATGTTTCCTCTGAATGGGGATGGAACGATCCTGCTGATTTTTTTGAAATATCAAACTTAATACAAGCCAGTTTTTTTTTTTCTTTCTGTGGCTTTCTAAGAGTGGAACAAAAAGGAAACAGAACACATACGTACACATATATACCCAGAAGGAGGGAGGGAAGGCAACAACAAGAACAACATCAACAAGAAGAAGAAAACAAGAATGGGAAAGGAAATCAAGAAATTAAGAAGGAACAGAAGGTTATATATATATTTTTTTTTCTTGATTATTCTTTGTAGGGAAAAGTGCAAAATCGTTAAAAGAAGATCAAATGATGTTGTTGATTCTGGATGAGTAAAGTGATTCTCTTTCTTTTTATTCTTCAGTTCTACGGTAAAAAAAATTAAAAGAAGGTAAACCTTTTTTTTTGTTCTCTTATTATTCTCTTATTATTCTTTTGTTGTTCTTGTTTATTTCCATTTTATTCGTTTTCCTTCTTTTTTTTTCTTTATTTTTTGTCTAGGTTTTGTTTTCTTTTTTTTTTTTTTCTGGCCTACCACCGTGCATCAGTTCACGTAAAAAAAAAAAAAAAAAAACAAGCACCTTTGGTGTATTACGTTATTCAAAGAGAGAGAGAGAGAGAGAGAGAGAGACGAAAACGTAAATAGTTATCTTTTTTTTATTATTGGGGTCTCTCACATGTCACGAGCAGCATCCTGCAAAGATCTTGAGGTATGTGACGTCCAACCGCTCTCGCTTCTTGAAAATTCTTTGTCCTCAAAAACTGAGCCAACCAGTGAAGTGGAGATAATGAAAGTGAATGGAATTGATAAAAACCTTGATGTGGATTCTGTACAGAAGATAGATGATAACAATATAGTAAATACAAGGGAACAGAACACGTTTCCAACCACAAGTAAATCTCATCCTGAAGTATTGGAGGATATCAATTCAGAGACCTCCCATTCCACATCTTCATGTACTGGTGTATTTTGTGAAGTAAGCAGCATGGGAACACAATGTACACAGATTGCAGAAGGTGTTGCTGTTGTGAGTGGAGAGTCTTGCAATCCATCTCCAGAAAAAGATTTTAAGTTATTGTCGGAAAGTTGTTCTCATATGGTGATGGCATCGCAAGATTCTGTAGAGGAGGAAGTCTGCTGCATATGCCTGGAGGAATACACAGATGAGAACCCTGCACTCTATGGGGAGTGCAAACACCACTTCCACTTACCGTGCCTTATGAACTGGAAACAACGCAGTAATGTCTGTCCAATGTGCTCTGCAGAGACGCTGCGTGGACTGGCAGAGGATAACGATCCGCCTCCGCGACTCCAACCACTTAACGATGAAGTTCTCGCACTAATGTTACAACGACAACGAGGACGCTACGGTACCCGACATATTCATCATTATCATCATCATCATTTACATCGTCAGCGTGAACGGGGACGGCCGCGGGTGCAGGAGATGCAATTTTCAGGCGCAGCCGTACAAATGTGGGGAGGTAGTGGTAACGAACGTCACTCCTTGCGAGTCACATCTAATCAGGAGAGTGCACTTAATCAGCGCCAGCGGCGTGTCAACACTCGTGACAGGGGTGATCCTGCCATTACGACTGGACCGCAAAATGTAGAATCTTCTGCTTCAGTAAAGGCATCAAGAGATGGACGATGTGTGCGGAATGATGACACAAACAAAAGCAGTGTATTGTCGTTTTTCAATAAACTCTTCTGTTGTTGTAAGAAGTAAATGGATCGCAATCAATAATATCCTCTGGACTCATTATGGTACATGAGAGAGTGATTTCTCTCAATAGGTGAGAATGCTTGAATCTTATGTCACCTATACACTTATGTGTATTTCTTTTTGTGCAAAACACCTCCATAACATGAATGACATGTTTCTTTTTTTTTTTCACCACCATTTTCTTCTTTTTTCTACACCTTTATTTGATCTTAGTTTTTATATTTCACTTTTTCAGAGATGTTTTTTTTTTTTCTTTCTCTTTGCTATGCCTTTGTTTGCTGTGGGCTTTTACTACAGCTGCTTTTTCATTCGAATATTTTCGTACTGGCTTTTATGGCAGATAAAAGCTTCTGAGGGATTTTCGATCTTTCCTACATTGGGTACACTTATATACGAACATATGTATATATACTTCTACGGAAGTCTTTACATAAAAACGGAAGAAAAACTCTGGAGATGGCTAGCTTGTCTTTGCAGATAAAAAAATTTGAACATGGGAATACAAGAGAATTGAGCGTTGTATGGTGGCAGAGCAAAAAAAGAAAAAACAAAAAAAAAAAACCCACACTCTCTTACAATACTCCCTTGAATATGTGTATATTTCTCCGTTTAGCTATGAACTGGGAGCGTCAGTAGATTTCTGAAGAAGTATTTCTATTAATTCAATTCCCTTGATGATGTTTTTTTTTTTTGCTTTTTCTTTTGGTGCTACAGTGGTAACGTGATCATTTTTCATTTATGCTTTTTTTTGCACAAGGAGTTAATCCAAGCTATTTGATTGCTTTCAGTATCACTTTTTTTTCCTATGAATTTGTTTCCACAACCGCACTCATGCATTTTGTTACGGATACAGCAGAGTGTTCATAATAATGGAAAAAAAAGAACGAAAAACAATAGTATAGGTAAGCAACAACAAAACTGAGAAAAAAAAAAACCAATGACCAGATAAGAGAAAAAAAGCGAAACAACTTTTGTTTTTGCTTTTATTACATCAAAACCAAAACAAAATTCTGATTCTGTTATTTTTTCTATTTTTCCTTATTTTTGATAGCTGCAACAGGCACAACAAGTCTAATCAAAATAACTAAAATTACAAAAGAAGCAAGTAAAGGTATGCCTTCCTCCAATAACAAAGCTAAGGTTGCACGTGTAACAAAATCACGTGCAGTCAAGCACGTTGCACGGAAGTCTTCTCCC